GACAGAAGGGTTTCCCAATTCTTTTAGAAACAAGCTTTTCACACAGATTTAGAAAAGTACAGTTTCACACACGCGCTCGCTGACAGGCAATGAGCTCATGCGATCTGAATGTCTCCCCCCCCTTCCCCACTATCCGCCCCACTCCCTTCCCTCCCTCATCCTCCTCACACACACACACACAACTTTCTCTCACCCGTGTTAATTATTTCATCCGCTTCATTTAGAGTGAATATAAGATACCCAAAAGCTTAATTCTGGATTTAGAAGTCCTAATCTGTTGTACAGATTAGGACGTCCAAACTGCTGTGTATTTCTCCTGCTTCGTGAACAGCAGTTTTTTGGGTTGCCAGGTTGGTGATTTAGCCCTCCGTCTCATGTGTCGGTGAGTGCGAGAGAGCGCGCGGGGGAAACAGCAAGCTCGACAAATGGCCGGTGGTCTAAATCAGAGTCACTTAAGATTTATGGTTTATGGGCGAGGTACCCGGCTAAAGGATTGAAGACGGCTTGAACTTGGGCGCGCTCGGATTGGCGTGCGTAAACGTGCACAGCCTATGAGCCGCCAACGATTATTTTCTTATTTCAATTGGACGAATAAAATCATTACAAAAGCACATTTGGCAGAGCTTTCGCCTCTTAGAAACGTCTCTCGAATCGTTTCATGCCCCCGAGAGTCTAAACAGCCTTACAGTCGACAGCAGAAGCCGAACCGTAAACACTCCGAAAATGGCTCTCAGACGTCTTCTAAACCACATGTGTGCGCCCGACATCGGCGCGGAGCCGGCCTCCTTCATAATTGGGGTGTTTGCAGATATGTAATTGCAAACACACTTAACGCAGCTGGAATGCTACTTTGAATTATATTGAAATCACGTCGGCGTGGTTAAATTTAAAGATTTGCCTGAGAGAGAAAAGCGTGAACGTGTGTGTGTGTGTTTGTGCTTTTATCTTTATGAGGGTTGAGTTTTTTCGGATCTAGAGAATTAAGACATTTGAGTGAAGAGAGAACGTTTGCACATCTGGGCTTTAAAATGTGCCAAGGAGCAAACTTCAGACACTCTATGGTGGATTTTAAACAAAAGCCACTGGAAAAAGAACTAGACAAACATAGCAGGTCCTCATTGTCTGACATTTCCATGCGTTCATTCAGGGGCGTGTCCGAAGTGGGTAAAAGCATTTGCGAAATCGGTACGAGGGCTAGGCTTTTAGTTTGAGGGATGAACTTAAAAAGGGATTAGAGCGAGGTTAGGGGCTCAGTGCAGATGGTTACGGTTGAAGTTATAAGCCACAAAATGGATTGAGTCATTAAAGGTTCCTGTAATGTCTAAACGTACGTAAGGATGCGTGTGTGTGTGTGTGTGTGTGTGGGGACGTCCACTAGGAGGAGACCAGCATTCATCTCTACGGGGACTCCCTTTGGGGTGAGCTGGGGACTGTTTTCCGCTGGTGTCCAAAGGAGCAAAAAGGGGTCCCTTCTGTCCTTCCCCCCCCTCTGCTCGTTCTGTGGTACCCCAAAACAACTGCACCATTTTCAGGGTTGTCAACCAAATCACAACTTCCTAATGCCGGGCGACCAAAATGGTCCGTTCAACTTTCTCTGAGCTTTACGGAACAGTTCAATAGTTTCTTAGATGCTCATAAATTGTTTAGAATATGTCCTTCTGTGCTTTTATTTCCCAACGCCTCTGTCCGGAGGTCGATGGACAGCCGGAGGGTTGAGTGGCCTCAGCATTCAGGGGGGGTCAGTGTCTTGCACGGGGAAATCCCGCTGAGGCCATTATCCCCTGCAGCACACACTAAAACTGACAGGAAGGTAACTCGGGGCAACGATCGATGCTGCGATCGAGCCTCTTTTGCCCCCTGTGTTGCTGGAGGCCACAAGTGGTCTTCTATTCATCGCGCTGAAGGCTGGCTAGTTGGACTGTATGGGTTTGTTCTCGCCGCTTTTATATGGCGGCGGGGAGCAGCTGTGAGCTGCAGGGTTTCATCGAGCTGCTTGCAGAGGAAGTCGCACGGGCTGCAGGAGACACGCACAGTCACACAGTTTCAGCTCGAAAGGCTGCTGATTTCACAGGATCTCGAATAGTCTCCACCGTTTAAGTAGTAATGGAAGTAATCCACCCACCTACACAAAATGTGTCTGCCAACTCACTTTTCTGCCTCTACCACCCACACACACACACACACACACACAGACACACACACACAGACACACACAGACATGCACGCAAATGAGAACAGAGTGTCCAGATACAGTGATGATAATCCCAGGCGGTGCCCTGATGTGCGAGCTGTGTTGGCAGTTTTCCGCCCCACTGCTGAACCCAGCGTGTTGTTTATGGCATCTCAGGAGAGAAAAACATTGAATTATTTCATTTCAATATTTTGCTTGTCTTCCAGTCTTAAATGTGAAGAAATATTGAAGATATTTTGACAAAAACAGGTGCAAAAGTGACCCCTACTAGAATTCTTCAGATATAATGATTATCCGTGGGATTTCATGGATGAAATTACATAACATGTGAGTGATATCTCAGAGTCTGGTACCCTTTTCTCTTTTACCGTTATCTTTACGTCAACAAAGGCAGACAAAAATAACACATCACACATCTATTTCACTGAGTTGGTTTGAAAAAAGAGCGAAGCGTCTCTGTTGAGTTGAGTTGAGAAGACGTCATGGTCGTGTCCCACTGAGGAATCGGTCCTGTGGGGCTTGTTACGTTTGAAAGCAAAGAGCACGGATTTAGAAAGGCACTGACCTATATTCCCTGTTTGCGTTTGACAGACGCGTGGTAGTTTCTCTCGCCGTTAACTCGTCTGTCTGTCTGTGGGCTTAAATGATAAATACATAGACCGTAAATCTCAATGTCATCCTGAGATACTCAAGATCTTACACCTGAGGTTCCCAATGTTTTAGACCACGGCACCCTTCAGCAGAAATATGTTTCCTTTTACTTAGCTCAAATAAATAAAATAGCTATGATCTGCACATTGGAAAATATATAATGTAACAAATAATACCCAAAACAATGCAATACAATATTCTAAAATATTAAACTACTTCATTTTCCCACATCAGAAATTGAACCCCAAAACACAGTTATTGAACTCTGTCAAATATTTCCATCGTGTCCTCTGTCACACTTAAGAGTGCATCGTGTTACTATGACGACCATGAGTCATTAGCTGTGGCATGAGTTTGTAATCTGATGATATGTATAAAAAAGTAATAATAATAATAATAATAAAAAGTACAAAATCCGAAACTGCTGTGCTAATTGCTCTGAAGAGATAATCCAGGACGCATTATTTCAATAAATGCACGTTTATGCGCAGATGTCTATTATATTGTAATGTGAGGCGTTCATGCCAGACATCACAAATCGTGATCTGCTCTTAAGCGTTGTGTATCTGTACAGAGCGGTTCGGCATCGTCAGCAGAGGAGCTCTCGTCCCGTTTCCCTCCCAAGGTGACTCCTCTGCTGTTGGCAGGCAAAGCCCCGAAAACACCTCCCCCGACTCCCTCTCTCTCTCTCTCTCTGCTTCGACACATCCATTATCTTTTAGACACAACTGTAGCATCACAAAGCAACTTTTATTTTTTAACTCCTACCTCCTGCTCACCCTCATTTACATAAATATCCGGTAGGACATCAAAATTCAGGCTGAAGACACAATATAAAAATTGTGTGTGTGTTTATTAAAACTCTGTGCGGTGCCTTTGGCCTCGTCTGCGGTCAGATTTAAGTTTGGCTCAGTGCCAACACACAAGCACCTGACCTTTTCCTCTTCCAGTTCTCGTAGTGGGGAGCGCTCACCTACGCAGAGCCATACGCGCACGCACACACACACACACCTCCCACTCATGCAGGCAGAATACTTATGTGGCTGTGAATTCGCAGGCAGGAAATACCAACAGAACATTTGTGCGGAACTTGCAGGTGTGTGACCGTTAGTTGTGAGTAAATAGGCCTTTGTCCTGCGTCTACGGTCGGTCATCTATTTCGGTCCAGGTTAATTCTCTACATGGGAGTAGGTGTGCTAATTTCCTCTCTCTTTCTTTTCCTGTTTCCCTCTCTCCCTACCTCTCTCTCTCTCTCCCTCTGTTAATTGATTAAGAGGATTAAAGCTGCTGCTGCGGTCTTAAGCCCAGAATGCAAACACCAACACACTTTAACAGTCAACCAAGTAGGCAGGACTCCTACTTTTAAATCAGCTTGACTACTTTTCGACTTCCATTACAATTGAACCATATTGCTATTTGCCAAACCCAAACATTTACTTTGTCCATAATGCAAGAGTTTAAACGGTTATTACATTATACATTATTCATTTGTTGACTAACACTCTGAGGTTAAATTTAAGCTGCAGTGGATCACGGAAATAATACAAGTTGACTGAAAGCAAACCAACACTTAACCAATCTGAAATCCTCAAGTTATAATTCCGTATAAATCCACTGCAGTCAGAATTTGCATCCCACCAGAGTAATGTTCCTGTTAAATGGTATCATGAATCACTTGTCAAAAGCCACCTTGAGGCTTTGGGTGATGCACTTCCCTCCCTGCAGCTGCTAGCAAAGAAAACAGCAGACCTGCATACTAGCTGTTATGTAGAGAATAGCTGAAACAATCAAACCGTCCTGAAATGATCAGTGACACTACATCACTCGGCCAACCCGCACATGCAGCTTGAACGGAGGTTGGAATTAAACTCACAGCATCTAAAAGACACAGTTATCGTCAAACCTCAGGCCTAAATAAAGTTGATATAGTCCCTACATACGTCTGTATAAACCCAAACTTCCTCAAACCCAGAATATTATATTCGTTCATACGTCCTCAGGCAACTCCTAACCCTATAAAACACATCTCCTCCCCTGACAAACACACACACACACACACACGAATAACACCTTAAATAACCTTGACAGCACCAATCCAACCCCGACGCCGCATCACTGCTGACACCCTGAAAGCTGCAGCCCATCCTCGCCGTCTTACCTTTGTGACAGTCATGCAGAATCAGTGGGTGAGGAGCAGGCCAGTGTCCCCTTCAAGCAAAGAGCAACGCCGCAGGAGAGGCAGAGTGATGAGGAGGAGAGGAGGGGCAGCTCTGCTGCATACTCAGCGAGAGAGAGAGGGATAGAGAGAGAGAGAGAGAGAGAGAGGGAGAGAGGGAGAGAGGGAGAGAGAGAGAGGGAGAGAGAGGAGGGGACAGACAGGTTAGTATGTCTGGCTCACTTAGTACGAAAGGGCTGATTGCTGCTGCAGTGAAGTAATGGCTGGCAGCCGGTGTGCGGTTGGTTACTACAACAGGGAAAAGCTCCCCGCTAGGATACAACCCCCCCCCACCCCCTCCCAACTGCACGCACACACACAGACACAAACACGCAAGCGCACGCACACTGGCGAAGCACGCAGTCAGACTGCCCTGCTCCCGCTCTCCCTCTGACGTCTCTGGCAATATGATTGGAGTTGGGCTAATACAGCTTATTGATGAGCAGGCTGCAGGAGGAGGCGGGGCAGTGCTGCCCGGCACGGGGGAGGAGAGGACTGCAGAAAGAGAGGGGGGGGAGGGAGGGAGGGAGGTGGACGGCGTGTCGCAGTCTGCTGCTTAGGCACAGAGCTAGCTGCACGTCATCTGGTGTGTAGACGTGTAGAGGTAGAGGTAGAGGTGTGTGTGTGTGTGTGTGTGTGTGTGTGTGTGTGTGTTGTGCGTTGTGCGTTGTGCGCGCGCGCGAGAGTGGCAGATGCACGATGGGAGGAGGGAAGAACATTTTAGATTTGTGCAGTAACGACCGCACTGAATCTAGTGATTTCAATTAGTGACATTAGAGAAGTCAGAGTAGTTCTTCACCCAGTCCCTCTTTGTGTCCTTTAATCTAACCACAAACTAAGGCAAACTTTATTTATCAATATTATTTTTCAACCCTCAGTGGAATCAAACTGTAATGTGATGATTGTGATGTGATTCTACTGCATTCTGCTGTGTAAATCAATACCTCCAGTGAAATGTGTTACAGTGGAACACAATCAATTGCAATGAACCAGTTTGATTTTGCAAGCTGCAATTGTACATTTGCAGTGCGTCCTAACTTGTTAGCTTCTAATCTTATACTTAAATATTGCTCTAACGCTTAAATCCAAATAAATGTGTTAATCCCACAAGGAGAAAGGACACGAGTGTAGAAGCACAAAAGCCCCCCCCCCGGCCACACTCAAAGAGTAACACGTCTCTGTCATACTAATTGTGTGAAATAGAGAGATGCTAGAGACAAGCCAAGATTCCAGCTCAGTTACCATGGCTTAACTTCCCATTGATGTGTGAGACTCTTCTCTAATGGCTGCAAGCCACAATACTGGCTTTGTTCCGTGCATCTGCATACGTGCCTGCGTGTGCTGTACGTTTCTCGTTGGAGCGAAGGTCATTAAGACGAAGGGGATCCACACGGGATGACATGATACCAGCTATCTGCTGCAGGCTGAGCATCGCGTTCTTTTGTCCTACTGTGGTTTCATCACACCGACACGTACTGTCACTCATTGGGGGAGCTCACTCTTCAGTCTCAGCCTTTTGGAGGGTCGCTTGAGGAAACGCTCCCAGCGCTTCCTGTCAAGAACAATAGCATGTCCTGTGTCGGTGGGCATGAGTGGTGGTCTTCCTCAAATCTGAAAATATCTGGATGACAATACTACCCCCCCCACCCCCCCCACGCCCAAGTTGGGCTACGATAGCACTTAGCTAGTTTTAGCTGTGGACGCATATGTATTATTACTCCAGAAAGCTGAAATAGTAATGTGCCAAGGTGTCACAATCCTAGAGTCAATAAAAAGCATTTTCATAACCGCCTCAAGTATTTTAGCATTTCAGCCCATTGAGATGAAGAAAACACAAGTTGCTTTGCCATTTCTTTTAACCGTAGTTGTACCACAGCGCTGTCCAACTGTTGAAAGTACGACATCTGTCAAATGTACGTCATAAAGAGAGGGGGCGAGGTGGCTTCATCCACTGTGGAGCTGGAAAATACTGCAGCCTGAAACTCCAGAGCCATCAGGGTGTTGCACATGTTCCACCAGACCTCACCAAGGTCCTTTAAAGAAAATGATGGTAATAGGAGAGAACTTTTACAAAATATTCATAGAGAAGATCCACATAAATGGGAGAACAACGATATCATTTTTACTATTTGGACTCAATGAGAGCTGTGGAAGCAGAGTGGAATCCGCCATATTTAACGCTCTGCTGCCATCATGTGGTGAAGTCATATTAATACAGAGTAGTTTGGCCCCAACTAGTTGTCTTCCAATGCAGTTAAGATGTCCTTAAGTTGACAAAGATTTATTTCCAACACTTGTAAGTTGATTAAAACAACAACTGGACAACTGGAAGCCAAACCCCTTATCTCAACGTACGCTCAGCGAGGCTCTGAAATACGGGTTTGTCATCTCGCCAAGTCCATCTAAGACGAATGTAGATTTTCTAAAGGCTACAAGAGCTGCAAACTGTCAGTGTTTAACAGCTTTCAAAACACCGCTGGCTTCAGGATTTCTAGCTTTCAAGACATTATTAACAGCAACTTTGAATGTGAATGTTGTCTAAAAAAAGAGAGATTTACTTTACACTTCCTCATTTAATGTAAATGTTATGCACTTAACAGCAGTCTGGAGCCTCTTCACACTCACTTGCAATGTATGGAATGATGTATTCAAGTGCTAATATAGTTTTAATCGATAGGCCACCTCTGTTTGGATGTTTTGCTTAATGTGCTCTTAAACAGCATGATGGAATCCATCATGATTCGTCTCCAACGGCGATGTTATTCTGTAATTCAATGTGTCATAAGTCTGCTCAGCAGACGGAATTTGGTGTCTTCATCCATTGTTCAACAGACTAATAAATCATCAACATCAAATACGTCCCTTTGCTGTGGCCCTTCAGCGGACTCGCTGCTCTGAACCCACATCATAGGAACAGTCAACGCGCTGACTAATCCTGCAGACTGAAGGCTGCTTGCATCGGCAATTTAACAACAGCAATGTAAAAGCAATTTTATGCTTGAGGTGAAGCTGACTTACAGGTCTCCAACATGCAGACTCTAAGAAAACACGGCGGCCGCGTGTGGAAGTCTTTCTCCTGGGCACTGCTGAGGTGCTTTTGAGCAACAGACCCCCATACTGCCCCCCCAGGCGTTGCCCATAAACTGCACACTGCTCTTAAATCACAGGATGGAACAATGCAGGGGCTTAATTTTACTGTTTAAAGAATGACAATGTTCTTTGAAATGTTGCTTTTTGCGAAGCCCTCGTTACAAATCTGTTGATTCGCTGGTAAACTGGTAATAAGGGTCACAACAGCTCTTCTACAAGCAGCCTCCCCCTCCTCTGAGCCTTTGGATTGAAGCCTGTCCTCAGGTGGTGCTGTGATTCACACACATGCATGCACACGTACTCTTCTGCTCTTTAACTGATGTGTGTATTTATGTGTAGTTTTGCTGGCGGGCTGATAGCAAAGAGATACGAATAAGAATGATGGAGGAGAACGAAGAAGACGATATGCGACAAAAGGTATTTGACCATATTTAAATCCAGATATTATTGACATGCATTCAAACAGCTGAACTCAACCAGAGCGGCCCAGTTCCTACTCAGAGTCCTGGTTCCCCCCATAAATACCCCTCAGCTCGCCCTCTCCTTCCTACCCTGACTGAGCCCCCCCCCCCCCCCACAATGCCCCCCTCGGAGCCTTTAACACCGGTCAAACGCATGATTTCCCCTCAGAAATTGTTGCTCTAGTGGAACATTTAATGCACACGGGCTCAGGTTTCTGCGTCCCTGGTGCACGGCACTGTGTTCCAGCCACAATCTGCACACAGACCACTTCCTCTACGTGAAGCAAAGTGAAGAAGAAGCAGAAGGAGAAGGAAAAAAGGGCAGGAGGCAAGTGAGAGTGAAATGGAAACGGGCAAGCAAAGCCCAGGTTGAGAGCAAAAGGAAGCAAGCCGGAGTGGTTGAGGTTCTAATCACACGTCAGAGTCCTGGTCAGAGTTCCCCTGTACGTGTAGCGGACGCATAGCTCAACCATGACCAGACAATTCCACAGGTTATTTGCTTAACGCACTCTTTTAGGTCATTTTCCACCATTTTTGTATTCCTCTCCAGCTCCGTTTCCCTTGCTGGAGCCTCTCCTTCGCTCTATTGTTTCACCTGCCGGTTATATGGGCAGATTTATGGAGTCCTGTGATGGGAAAGGGTCCCTTTCCCTCCCAAACCCTCAGACTGTGATTCATGTCAAGGTCAAAGACAGATGTTTTTGAACTTGAGGCGTTTTATATGTTATAATTCATTTAAAAACACACTGCTACTGCTTTATATAACATTGGTAACCTTGTCATGGTATTCAAAATGTATAAAGGCGTCAGATAATATAATTACGTTGCAAGAGGGAGATAAATCGGTAATTTAGAGGGATTTATGTCGCTCATCTTTTTGGAAAAAGATCCAAGTTGAGTAACCAGAGACAAGAATACATTCTTTCTTCATCCCCGTCCCTTCGTCACAACATATTTGCCCCCCCCCTCCCCCCCCTCTTCTTCCCTCGCACACATTCACCACACGCAGAGACTGGAAAACAACCCAACAACACACTCACATTAAGTCAAGGACAGCACCATAAAGGCGTAACATGTGGATGCAGTTAAGCAGACCTTTGCAATCAGATGGACCTAAAATACAGGGGGAAAAATAGTGGAAACACAGGACTCAACTTCTTTTCAAAATATGTACAGCAGGAAAAAGATAACTTTCACCACTTGTGCTTTGTTGAGCTCTGATACAAAATGCCTTCCAATCATGTGACGTCATACTGGAGTAAAACACACAGATTTTCTCAAAGGATCATATATTTTATTTCATAAATGTCAGTAAGCAAGGGGAAAACGTATTCAAAAGTTATTATCCCCAGAGGATTCCTGACTAAACCCAATGAGTCAGTTTGGCAAAAACTGCACATTTAAATATTCCTCTGGTCAGCTTTGTCGCTACCAATGAATATAAAGTGACTCCATGTATGTTTGGTTTCCATTTAGGTCACCACTCTGGCACCTGACACCTTTCTAGCTCACATTTTATTGCTCTCCTGTGCTATAAAGGTGTTGAGGCAAGTGTTGATACTTAAGAAAGTATAAAGACGTAAAACTGAGAAAAATCCGTACTCTTTAAATAATCCTCCATGACTGATGAGTCAGTGATAATTGCTTCAGAGAAAAATACCTTTGCAGATTCCATTATTACCATCTTTCTTGATTGATACCATGACTTGGACTAAAGGTTATCAC